TTAAAAATAAAAACAAAAGTAAGACGACTTAGTTAGATGTGTACAATGGAAATTTACTCACAAATTAATGTCTTTATCATTAACAAAGGCCAACTTCTAATAAATATTTTTAAAACTGACTTCACAGAAATATAGCAAATAAATGCATATAGTATAAGGAAAATATTTTTTTATTATTTTAAGTTATGGAAACTAAAGTCCATCATGTTTGTGCGGTACTGATATTTCTGGAAATTGAAAACAGTAATAGAAAACATTGGCTACCAAGTGAATAACATAGCGAAACAATTTTAATATATTTAATTCTACCTGCTGTTTCACTAAAATCTTAAATTTCCCAAAACAATCGACGAAGACCCTAAAACCGTGGCTAACAATCACAATGAGCAAAAAGGTAAAGATTGCACGTGTCCGTCTATTTGACTGACTGTCTGTCTGTCTGACTTTAAAACCTAAATTAAGATGAAAGTCAAAAAGTAATTCACCGTAAAATATTATTTTTTTCATTAGTGTCTTATACTAAAACTCTGTATAGCAATTAAAAAGGGTCAAGATTTTAGTCTTTTGTGTGCTATTTTTACTAAAACAATAGTTTGCATACCATAAAGAATGTCCCTGTAGTTCCTTTTGTTCTCGTTATTTATTTTTTTTATTTTAAATATACTTCAAATTTTTTCTAACGCGGAAATTGTTTAATATATATATATATATTTCTACTTTGTAGCCATATTATGTGGAAACAAACCTAATTTGAGAGATATAGCAAGGATAATTACACTGCGATTTCTTACAATACTAACTACCTTTTTTATAAGTCCAAAGATTAAAACTAATTTAATAATATACTAACAAGAAAATAAAAAAATATTTTTAAATTTATTAAAAATAAATTTAATTATATTTGTATTATAATTAATTTCATTAAACAAACAAAATATGATGTCTAGTTCTATATCGCACTATCATGCTATGGTATCTGATACTATTAGATATAGAAAAGTAACGAATTTCTCAAGTGTAATGATGTAAATGAAATGACAATTAAATGTAATTTCTAATTTAATTATTAATATTTCTATTTAAAAATAAAAACACAAGACATAAATAAAATATTAAAAAAATAATATAAACAGCTGTTATATACGAGTATAACAACAAAGGTGATAATATCAGAAAAAACAACAACATACCTATTCGTCATAAATCGAATAGTCGTAAAGTTGTTATTTCAGTTGCTTTTATTTTCTATTATGGTTGTTGCTGTCTATATTTTATATGTTCCAATAATTAATGTCTTTAAGAAAAATAATTAAAAAAAACAGTAAAATAAAACATTTTTCCAATTAATTATATACAAGACGTCTCCAATATCATGCGATATACAATAGTCTATCTAAGCTTTAAGCTAACTCCTATGTCATCTTCCCAACACCTATATCAATTGCCTTTATTTACTTTATTTTGGGGTTTAAAGTAATTGAGTTAGCTTAATATTAAACCTATTTATATCTCACTAATGTTTTTAAGTACTGAAGACTACTATGACTGGCTGTCTTCGTAAGCTAACTAACAATGAATGTCTGAATTCTAATTTGTAGTTAAAATTCATGTGTGCCAAATGACTGAATCTAATCTAATTCTAATCTTTTCAAAAACTTTCCATAGCATTAGTATTTTGTGACGCTAGTTTATAAGTTTATATAGGTCAAACATTACAAAATTTAAGTAAACATTCATGAAATAATTTAAAATTAATATAAAATTTCTTTAATCTTTTAAGTGTGTTTTTAAATGATTATAAACAATTTCCCTTTCAGTTAAAAACAGACAAGACACAAAAGGGGATGGATCAGATTTACATTAAAGAAGTCATCGCATATAATTTTTTGATATGCCACCCTAGTAATTTCCGTTTTAGTCTGTTTTATACTTCATTACAGTCTGTGAAATATTCATTATTATTTATATCAGTTTGATGATTTATGTTAGACACTTCACTTAGTTCCAAAGGTGTCCCAATTTTTGGATACCGTTATTAAGTTTATTTTAACACCGAAGTTACCACTTGCAATTTATCAACATGTTCTCGACTAGATAACATAGAAATAATATAGGAAGAGGAAGATCTAAAATCGCAGTGGTGATTTCTTCTTCTTCTGTTGCTCTGTGTTCTCTAGTCAAGAACATGTCGATAAATTGCAAACAGTTGCTTCCTTAATTACTGCACTGTGTTAAAAGGGGCGCAAAAATGGGATGCAAGAATCGTAGCACTCTTGGAACAAAGTAAAGTGGTTAACATAAAACCGCACATAATGTATATATATTTCTGAGGCCCTATTATTCCTAAGCAGAAACTTATGTTAATGATGATGATTATTCAAAATACTGCAAATAAGATTCTTTTTTCGGACGTTTTAAAAACTTTGGAAAACTATTTTTTTTGTGCGCAGATGAGGTTTTAAAATGCCTAACGCATCGCTACTATGTCGACTGTGTACCAGAACTATTTAATTTAACAAAATAATTAAAAACAATGTCCTATAATAGCGTATTTTTACTCAAATCTATATATTATATTTGTATGGTTTTATGATGATTAAAACATGTTCGCCTATATAAGAATTGCTGCATATCTTTTGTTTGATTAAAGTCAACTGCAGTATGGAGATCTTCAAATGATCTCCATCTCCATACTCTAACAGCAGCCTATATCCCTTTGATTTCTATTTATATGACCATTTTTATTATATTATTAATGACAAAATTACAAAATATTAAGTAATATATTATTTTTATTATATTATTATATTTATTAATACAATTAAATTAAACATGATGTATTTGATTACAATGCGTATTTTATTTTTACCAATTATCATATTTATTTCTTATGAAATATTTTTAGAATTATACATTATCAAAATTATCAAGTTCAAGTTTTTATATTATTTCAATCAAAAAATACTATTCGACCTTGTGCAAGAGTAATTGAACCGAATAATAGTACTTCAGTTAAGGTACAGATAATGCCATTAGAACAACATTCTAATCTTAAACAATATACTCAATGCAGCACAACGACACTTATTGTTAGTTCATATTTAATTTTAGTACCAAAACAATATTCACTTCAAATTGATATAGAAAACGGCAATAAACCATTTAAAAAAAAAATTAAAAATAATTCAAAATAAATTATAAGGAATACCCTGAACAGAAATATAAATTTGCGTGTGAAAAAATAATCTAGCGATTAATACAAAATTTATATTAAGTTTTTATTTAGGTGATATTTATTTATTTATTTTGATAAGAAATTGATTACTAAATTTTGATTAGAAGCTTTTTCAGAAAGCCCTGAACTTAATGATTTCGCATATCCCCAAAGCAGTGTCTGTTGCTAAATGTGAATTCCATCATTAGACCCAGTCAAAGTCAATGATATTTGATTTGACTTCTATTAAAATAGTCTATCAAATTAATTACTTTATTTTTAAAATTAAATCCAAATAAAAATTATTTTATGTGCTTGAAGTAAATAAATTTTTATGAACTAAGACGACAATTTCTGACCCAAAAGATTATTAAGCACCGTATGGGTATTAGGCTCATATCAAATTTATGATTTGCATAAGTCTGATGCGTGACTCAAATTGGATTGTTTAATATTATTTTTGATTTTTTTTTTATTAAATTTATATAATATATATGAAATTATAATTTTGCGTTATTATAATTGCTCAGATTATTTTTTTGAAATATACTTTTCATTTTTATTTTATTTAATTATCAAGTATAAAATACATTGTCGCTAAAGTAATTAACATTTTGCGATAATGAAATTGCAACTGCACGTTTGTTGTGTAAAATTGAGGCAGTAAAAATTAATTTTTTAATTTTGTAATTTTACTTTCTATTACTAATGATAAGGCTTAGATTTATTTACATATATAAAATAATTAAAAAATTTTATTATTATTATACATGAAAACGTATTTAACGTGTAAAGTTTCTAGAATTGTTATTAGTATTTTTTCATAATAATTTATATAATTGTCTCCATAAATAGGTTTTTCGAATAATATTTGTCGTCTATAAAAAGTATTTTAAATTTCATATAATGAAACTTTTTTCATTACTTCTCATTCAAATTTTTTTTGTTTGTAACAAGAATTCTATCTAGTATAGAAAATTACGAAATTAATTTTATAATCAAGAGAATTTTTTGGACAGACCATATAATATATATTTGGCATAGCACCTCATTATCACTAATGAACATGAACCTCCATTGTTACAATTGGCCATATATTATTTTTGGGCTGTGCAAAAATTCAGTCTCACATACTATATATTATTATATATACATATGTATGCATATATAATTAATAATATATGTATTGTTACATATATATTGTCAGTTTATATTGTTAGAATTTTGAGTTAAGAGTTGTATATTGCTCGGGATAGTTGCTCGGTATAAAAACATATTATCTATATATCACCGTCGAATATAAGGATATAAATATTGAAACCAAGAAGTTTATTTTATTCTACAAAATCCGGCTATTCGAACGAATACGCACAACAGGTGATTAAGCAACAATATATATATTATATATATATTATATATTTATATATTCAATTTTATTTATTTTGAGTACATCTCGGTAAGAAGTTATAAATTCGAAAAGAATTTTAAATTTTATTTTGTTGAAATAAATATTTTGTTGTAAATATGTATTATATCTCCATAAATATTAATATAAAAGTTTATTATTATTATTACTTTTATTATTTATATTACATATGCGAATATATTCACTTGATGAAAAATTAATTTCAGTTTAAATTAAAACTGTTTTTTACTATAAAAAAAGCTATTTAAAATATAATATATGAAGAATATATATTATGTTATTTAATATTCAATTTAGAAAAATATATTGGTATACATATTATTTTTTAAACAAAGAATTATAATAATTGAAATGACTTACCATGAGCCACATTATTAATGCAGTCCAAATATCGTGTGCCTTCTTCATCAAACATGTACTGACCCTGACCGCGTACGATTTTTAGCGGATCAGAACGATAAAATAGCTGACAAGCTTGGCTATATTGTTTTTTTTTTTTGTTATTTTAGATTATTAGTTGGTATTTAATTTGAAATTTTCAAATTCAGCAGATTGGTTTGATTGGAAGCACAGCAGGTTCCATTGATTTGGAAAGAAAAGCACAAGAAAAGAATATTTTTTTTTGGTTGCTATCGATTTATATATGGAAAGTATGCTTAAAATAAGCTATTGTTATAAAAAAATACATAATATATTTATATAATATTTATACCTAATAATATATATCTAAATAAAATAAGTAAACATATACACAATATTTATAATATAATATTTGGTATTTAACAATTGTTTTTCAAACAGAAAGTAAATATATATTTTTAATATTTCACCTTAAATATGTTATATATAAGAATATACGTTTATTATTATAATAGATTTAATGTAATGTTAATATAATATATAGCTTAAAATATTACATCTTTTAAGTTTTTGTTTGTACTGATGAAGGCTTATGTATTATATATAGAAATTTAATAATAATTTATTTTCCTTTTTTTTTGCCATTGTATTCATATTAAAAACGATTTCGATTTTTTTCTTATTTCAATAAACATAATATAAATCAAAATGTATCATAAAATTTATTCATTTTATATAGCTCTATTAGAGCTATGAAAAGGTACTAATTAGCATATTATCTAACAGTTAAAGTCTCATTTTAAGTAGTGGTATCACAATGAACCCACTAAATTCGCCAGTTTATTAATTGAGGTAACTGCTCAATTAATAAATCAACACAACATTTCATCTATATTAAATCTTAAATGTATCAAAAAAAATATATGGCTTTCAATAATATAAACTACATCAATAATTAATTAAATTTTTTAATTTATATATTATTATGAACTCAATTTTACTATCGAACAATACGATATCAATAATTATTAATACAAACCAAATATTTTTATTAATAATTTATTATTTTTGATTTTAAAAGAAATTAATTATGATCTTAATTCTATTTTTTTGAAATAATTTTAAAATTTATTTTATATATTTACTTCAAAAGATATAGATATATAAAAAAAATTTTTTTTCGCATAAAATATTAGAGAAAAAACTTATAAGCTTTAGAATAATTTCTAAATAAATATTAAACTTAAAATTTAATTATTAAATATATGAATAATAATATAATCATTCTAAATATGCAATATATAATAATGTAATAATATAAAATATTACTTAATAAATATTGAGCACATTAAGCAGCAAATTATTAAGATTAAATAAATTATTGTTAGTCTCTAACCATGAGAGAAAATTCATGAGTAAAGTAAAAGCGTTAAAAAAGAAAGTGAACTGCAATTAGAGTACTAAAACAATCCATTCAAAATTCTATCTACGTATCTAACAAATATTCTAAAAACAATATTGATTTTAACCCGAAATGCTAATGAATTTCTCACACAAAACTTATGGTGATCACTCATACGCCATAGAAACCCGCATTTAAATAAATATAACGACTTTTGGCTACTTCGCAATAAATTGTATATGTATACTTTTTTGTTTCAATTTTTTTTCTCATATTTTTGGAACTTCCAATTATTGATTCTATACTAAATATTAATTTGTATTAAAAATAAACATTAAAGCCCTTTTGTGGGGTGTTTCAATATTGATTTCGTTAAATGACTTGTTAAAATTTGTTAATTTTATTGAAGTGGCAATTATGAATGAATTGTTAAGTTGAAAAGTGAATATTTAATTTTTATTAATTTTAATAATTTTTAATAATTTTTTTATTGTAAACAAAGTGAAGTATTTTTAATGCTATTCAGAACGGTTTTCTCTATAACAGATTGTTTTTGTTAGATTGTTATATATAATAGATGAATGCAATACAGACAAGCATTTGTTGCTTAAGAATTTTGAACAAGCTTTCAACCAATTAAATGAGTTTTATGTGACTAAACATAGATACAAAGCAGGGTTAAGAGATGATACTTTTAAGATCTGTATTAAATTGTTGACCAACATTTAATAATTCAATATGAGATTGATGATACCAAAAATTTTAAGACTCTAAACAGATAAGTATACTAAAGTCAAAATTTTTAATGCTTGCGTAAAATTGGTGTTTCTTTACTGCTCTGAGACATGAGTCGTTACAAAGAAAACCTAGTGAAAACTACAATGCTTTATTAAAGTACATAACAAGTGTTGTGCTACTAACCAGCACAACAGTAGTACTGAAGTAAAAAATTAGAAGTATGATTAAATCGGTTATGTTCTACATGAGATCTAGAATTAAATTTCTCATGTAGCTTTGAATTAAAACCGTTAACGTGACGACGTGGTAGATCTTAAACAACGTGCAGAATGATTTTTAATCATCAATATAAGAAAAGTGATCAATAACATAATATTAAACACTTAATTCCATATGTTCGAAATTAAAAATATATATGTTAAATTCTAAAATTTCCTATATGAAACAAATTTTACGCCCATTAAACAAATATGATATGTAGGTTATACATGTAGTTTATTATATGAAAATATAATAATAAAAGAAAAATCTTTTCTTTAAAATTAAGTTAATTATTTTACAGCAAGTAAAACTTTTAAACCAGTTGACTGGTGATGAATATTCACTATTCTAAACTATTTAAAGAACTTTGCAATGGGTATTGCTGTAGCAAAATAATTAATTTAATTTTTGATAAAAAACTTTTCTTATATCTTATAATCGGATAATAAAACTACAATTTTTATATCTTGAATTTGTGGATGTCTATGAAAACAGTCAGTTCCTTAGAACCTATATATTATTTCAGATATCGGTACGAATTAAAAAAGATTGACAACTTGATTTTTATACATTTTTGATTTTCTTATAATATTTTTAATATTTATTAAAATATTGTATATTAGAACATATTAGAACAATTTTGGGTTATTCTGCTATACGTTTGGAACACTATAATGTGGAATTGTCTTTATGATGAAAAGGACTATTTAGAACTATTTAGAAGTTCGACGGATTCGAATAGCAAAGAAAAGATAAGGGCAAAACTTTATTTAATTTATTGAAATTTGGCTGACCAACGCTGATTCGAGTATTACCAAGTACTCATCATTAGTGGTCTTAGGAAATATTATATTTTAGCACAACATTTTTATATAAAAATGATGGATCACTCTACTAAACAATGGCATAAATCTAAAAATTATTTATTTTACTTTTTTAAGTGATAAAAACTATTTTTGAAAATAAACTCAGAATTAAAATAAATAATTTAACTTTAAAAATATATCTCTATAAATTTTGTTATTACTCATTTGCTTTTATTGCAAAACATCTTAAACAAATATCAAACAAATTTATATTTATTTTTCTTTATCACTGTAGAGTATTCAAATGAAATATTGTTTTAAAATAAATAAAAATATTTTAACAAAACAAAAAAAAACTAACAAAGTTTATATATTAAAAAATCTATATATTAAAAAAAACTAACAAAGTTTATATATTAAAAAATCTAAAAATATTTAAATTTGTTGCTAATTAAAATTTCTTCCTTATCAAAAGTTTAACAAAATTGCTACAGCACAGGTGTCAGCTGCACTCGCTCTGCTTAAAGGGACAACAACAAAATAACGAGTAAAACACGAGTCAAATATAAAAAATCACAACACAGTGAGAAACTGCACCAAACAATTTTTTCTACGGGTTGAAAAACAAAAATACAAAAACAAAATCCTCAAAATACAACACACAGAGTCAGTAGAACATTCGCTATGCTCTCATTTTTCTTCACCTATGCGCGGAAATTTTAAAAGAGGAGCGATGACACTAGAGCAAACCAATGCGGGTGGTGATGTGCATGTGCTCCATGACCTTGACAAAGAAAGTATGAAACTAATTGACCTTGTCGAAAAAAAACAGTTAATCAAAATGCAGGAAAAAATATCTTAAATATATACGTTAACAAACAAAAAAAAAACAAAAAAATAACAATAATTAAAATAAAATAAAAAATAATTTAAAAACTATTTAACTTAAATATAACTTATAGCAAAAAACTTAAAATTACACTATTTTAATTTCTTATTCAATAAAAAATACTCACCCAATATGTTTATTTCGTAATTTAATTGTATCTGATTTAGATAGTTTTTCCGACATCATGGATTCAATTTGTTCACGTGCAAAAGGCATTTTAGTTTTATAATTTTCGTTTTTTTTGTTATTTTTTAATAATAAATTTAAACTAAACTTTTTTAAAATTTAAAAAAATGTAACGACTTTATTTTCTACTTCACCACAAAGCGCCTGCAGCGTGTTGCCACAACTATTGTTTACCAGCAACTGTTTATGAATTAAAAAGAATTGCCTTGCCTTGCCTTCCGTTCAACTAACAGTTGAATTGATACACTTTCAACGAATGCTCTTGCTCGTTATTTGTTTGGTAAATAAATGACTTTGTGTTTTATTGGTCAATGCGTGTGTAATGCACGAACTGACCACTTGTCTTTAAATTCTAAAACTGAATGACGACTTCAACTCTGCAGTTTAGCATTTTTATACGATAGTCCATCATAATTTTGTTGTTATTATTTTTTAAAGCGTTTAGCGTACGTGTGTATGTGTTTGTGTGTGCACGGTTTGTGTTTGTATTTGCATACATCTTTATCTATCTGTGCCTTTTCGACTATCTGCCTAAAATTTGCCTCTTGCTCTTTTTGAGCATTTGATTTGCTTGCTGGCTTGTTAGCTTGTTAGAATTCGCGATAAGCCAGGCTACTAACATCTGTTTTTTGTTTCATTTATGCGCAATAAATCTGTAATTGTTGCTAAATACATACAAAAAAGGCTTGTTTGTTTGTGTTCACAAGTGCCTGCCATATTCCTCAATATGTGTCGGGGGTTGTTTCTGATTGCAAGCAGAAGTTTCCTCAAAGAGTGATAAGAATTTTCATTTCATATAGTTAGTCGTTTTTTAGTTTGTGTTTTTGTTTTTATTTTAATTTGTGTTTTTGTTTTTGTTTGAATTCGTTAAGCTTTACATTATATTCTTAACATGAAAATTTAGGTTCATTGAGGTTATGCACTCGGCACTGTTAATTACAGAACTGATTAAAAGAATTTTTTATTTTACAGACCTATCTATGATTTAAACATTAATAATATGTCAATAATTAAATGATTATGTTTATTTATTCTAAAAAAAAATTTTATATTGTATTATTAGTGTCAGCATTTGTTAGTTAAATATTAAATAAATATTATATAACAATTTTTAATTTAAAAAATATACACATAAAATAAATTAAAAAAATATACTATAAATGCTATAAATCACAATCACCAAATATATATCTTGCAAATATATATCTTAATAAATACATATACATATACTATGTGTATTTATTATAAAAAAACTGTTTAATAAAAAATTGTGTCCATATTAAATATAAATTAATATAATATAATTAAATTATATAAAATATAATTAAATACAAAAAAAACAATTTAGAGTAGTTATGAGTTTACTTTTTACATATTTCTATTTTTAAAAAAGGTTTATGTGAGGCTCAAATAGACTTTCTTAAAACCAAATATAACAATTTCTACCAATCAAACAAATTTAAAAATTAAATAAAATTAATATTTTTACTTTCTACAAATCACAATCATCTAATATAAAATTCTTATTAGTAAAGTCCTCAAAGGACTAGCAAAAACTAGGCTAATGAAGTACCGCAAAGATACCGAAAAGTTCGGTTAAAAATTGGAGATCTGAACCAAAATGAAAGAGATCCTCCCCGAAGTAATGTGAAAAGGGTTCCAAAAGAAAATAAGTCATTCTGAAGAGTGAGTGTTGTAGTGCGTATACATTATATTAATATGTTAGACGTCGGCCACTACATTCTAAACACGACTGGTTCGACGATACATAAAGCCTTTAATAACATATAAAACATTATTGTTTTAATAATAAAAATTAACAACTAAAAATTAAATTTATAATTTTCATATACCAGTGTTTCAAAATTTAAATAAAATAAAAAAAAGTTATATATATAATTAGGAATACGTATAAAGGCTAAATAGGCTATGTCCACTGACTCTTCAAAATACAGTTTATATACTAAAGAGTATGTACTTAGAGCAAGCAATTATTTAACGTTTGATATCTTCTATTCACAATTCAATAATGTTACATGTCACATTTCTTAATTAATAAAAATGCATTAGTTCAAGTTGTTAAATGTTTTTTTTTATTTAAAATCTTTTTTTTTAATTTATTTTTATATATTATTATTTTCTTATTATTATTTATTTTCAATTTTCTCTTTTTAAATTTATAATATATGTATGTTATATGTATATATAATTACATAGTTTAATATATTATATATTAAATTATGCTTGTGTATAAATAATATATATATTTATAATTTACTTAATAATTTGCTTAATAGAAACTGTTAAAATCGAAAACTTTTACACTGACAAAAGTAACAATATAAATCTATATATATATATATGATATATATATAAGATATATATAGAATATACGACATATATATATATGATATATATAATTTATATAATATGAGTGTCCTTTTATTATATATATATTTTGAAAATATTATTTATGCATGTGCAAATGATTCAAAATTTATAAATTTACTAATGACTTTCTGTTTCTGGTTTTTAATATTTATTTAAAATATATTAATTATTTGTGTTTATGTTTTATAAATACAAATATTTTTTATAGACATATTATGTGTATGTGTATATTAGAGAATTACGATAAAAATTTTATGTAGTTATGGTATATAATATATAATTTTTTGTTTTATATATATATATACATATGCATATGTATATATATATGTATGTAGAATTTAAAAACTACTATTTGCATACAATTTACAGCGGTTTCAATAAATTATTTTTTATTTTTAATCATTTATTTTATAAGTTTAAAGAACACTTGTTTTTCCTGTTAAAACTCGTAAATATTACTTGTATATGTATATATAATTTTCACGACTATATGTAAACGCACAAGATATATGTATATAACGCTTATGTTTTTATGTTTTTTTATATTATTTCTATCGAATAAAAATCTCAAGCAATTACTTTTACAATTTTTTTAAATCTACTATATTACGAACATTTATTTTATTTAAATGTATATATGCATATGCATGAAAATGTATGTATGTATATACTTTGTTCAATTTTTTAAAATTTTAAAATATTATTGAGTGTATAAACGCATTTAGATTTTTATAAATTTATATTTATGTTAAAACTATTTCATTTAACTATTTATAGTCAATGGAGCATATTTGTAAAATATATTTATTTATAATTACAATATTACTACAAACGTTACACTGAAATATGTCTTTAATTTGTCAAATTAACTTCAAATTAATTTTAGAATAATATTTATAAAAGTTAAAATTAATAATTAAAAAATTCTAAATTAATTATCAATAATATATAATTTATTTGAATTTCATTATATTATATTGCATTCATTTTGAACTGTTCTACATTATTTTCAAAAAATTATTAAATAATTATTAAATTAATTATTAATAATTTCAACTAGTCTGCATTATTTTTGAAAAAGCGATAACAAATGTTGAATTAATTGTTAATGTTAATTTTAAATACAATTTATTATAATTAAATATTTAATAACATAAAATAAGAAAGAAAATAATATAAAATTAATTCTAAATTAATATCTAATTAAGTTCTATACTAATTGGAAAAATCTAAATTAGTTTTAAATTAATTAATAATTTATTAGGGCCTGTACTAGTTTTAATACTAGGAAAATCAAGGAGTTTTGACTTGCTCTCTGATCTGTGATTTTAAAAATTTTCTGTTAGGTTCAAAGAAGAAAAACTGTTCTGAAGGAAATAAATACTTTCTCACAATTGAAACAATTATTTCCAGTGTTATAAATTTGTTCAATATTTATTAAAATTTAATGATGTTATAAATTTTATAATTTAATTTATTTAAAATTAAATGCAGTGAATAAAATTAATTTATTAATAAATAAATAATAATGAATAAAATTAATTTATTGAATTATTGTTACTGAACCTCATAATTTTATATTTTAAATCAAAGTTCCTGTGTATTTAATTATCTCGGAATAGTAAACGACATTCTAATGAAATTTATGGAATTTCGTTACTATTCAGTAACTAAGTTAAAAATTTGTGACTATATAAAATTATAAAAAAGACTTAAAAAATACATTCTTAAAAGTACCTAGAAAAAACCTTCAACACAAATGTTAAAATTAATAACACTTATTAATACTTAGTTGTTGAAAATTTTTTCAGAAAATGTTATTTTACCTAGAAATTTTTTAGAAGACTACATTTTTCCCAAACGAAGGTCCTTCATGCTTCAACAACAAATAATAATCACTGATTAGTCCTTCGCTTTAAAAAAAAAAAAAAATGTTACCTTTATTATACAATATTAACACTATTATTTTTTAACCAAAATAAAAAATATGTTCACCAATAACTCCATATATAAACAAAATAATAAGATAATGATCATAAATAAGGACTTCATCATCATTTTAACAACAGCTAGCAACACCCACACATAATATTTTTCAGTAACTTTGAAATCTTAGGATTAATCTTTGGAGTCTTAATATACATATATATAAATTAAATCTAATATGATATGAAAAGTGACATAAGATATTATTTATATAATAAATATATATAAAATATACGGTCAACTATATTATATATATGTCATTACGATTCGAAGATTATTTACTATAAATTATCTATAAATAATATTCTGAATAAAACATATATAGTTACTAAGGGCATGATAATACCAACAAACTTCATGTCGAACAAATTACACTTCCTATAAACCCCTATCACAACTTATCTAAGTATTTAGGGGAACCTAATATCTACTAACTGTATTTCTTTTTTATTATTATTAATATATTAAAAAGAACATATACTCTAAGCAATTAATTTTCATGTCCATTCCTTTAGAAAGAAATAGTATTAAACGAGAATGAGAGTGATAATTCAATCAGAAAAGTACAAACACAGGATGTGAATTCACCTTGAATATCTATCGATATCTATGAATAATAGTATTAAGTATGAATAGTTAAAACGAGATTATTA